CAGACATGGGCACTCAGATAAGACATGCTTGGACACATAGTACAGACATGGGCACTCAGATAAGACATGCTTGGACACATAGTACAGACATGGGCACACAGATAGGACATGCTTGGACACATAGTACAGACATGAGCACTCAGATAAGACATGCTTGGGCACATAGTACAGACATGGGCACACAGATAGGACATGATTGGGCACATAGTGCAGACATGGGCACTCAGATAGGACATGCTTGGACACACAGGGCAGACATGGGCACACAAATAGGACATGCTTGAACACACAGGGCAGACATGGGCACACAGATGGAACATACTTAGATACACAGACTAGGCACAGGCACACGGTGCAGACATGAGAGTATACGTGGGCGGGCATGGGCACACGCTGATGAAGAAGGAATGGTAACAAAAACTGGCTATGCGCACACAGATGGGGTGGGCATGGGTGTAGTTAGAACAGGCATGGGCACACGGACAGGCCAAGCATGCACACAAGACACAAGCATGCACATGTGCAGGGAGACCTGCCACCATGCCTGCACACAGACGGACCAGGAGGTAGACAGTGAGGTGCCCACCCCCTCTGTGCACTCTGTTACACCTTCAGAACAGTCTACCCCACTCTGGTTTCTGCCTTAGACTGCTGCCATGTCTCCCGACCCTCTTCCTTCCCCAAGGCAAGCTCAGGAAAGCCTGGACTTTTGTTCCCCACTGGATTTAGTACCTAGGACACTGGCTGTGGGATGGCTCACACCCAGGGGCGGTTTGAGACCACTGAACTAACAATGTAAGTGCATGCGAATCTACTCAGAGCAGAGGTATCAATGCGCAGAAGATCCCAGCTTACAGAAAGCACCTGGAATGAACACCGGCAGTCTCGAACACCCCAGGAGGGGTTCCACACAGCCTTAAGACCTCTACATGCCCTACCTAGCACCTGCTTTGTCCCCCTCACCCCCACCTCTCCGTCGCCTCACAGGACTCTCTCCTAACTTCCTCCACTCCAGCTACTGTGCAGTGTGCCAGCTCCAGAACCCATGGGCACGCAGAGGCCGGTCCACTAGCCCCTCAACCCTGTCCAGGTGCCTGATGGTCCCTCAGCTTCTAGCTGTCAGGGTAAGGGGCTGAGGGAGGGAAGGCTGGAGATGAGCACTTAGGGCCATGGAAACACACAGAGGGCTGATCCCTAACCCAGATGACTGATGCTAACCCACGTTTACCATCCATCTCCCAAGCACTCCAGCTGACCAGCAGGACCCTCAAACACACACACACAAGTTAGGGGCACCAGTCAAAGGGAAGCCAGCAGGAGGGGAGGCCCAGACTAGGTCAGTGGCCCTCTAGACCTGCACTAGCCCAGTACACCTGGTAGATGCTGAGAGCCACCCAGAGCGATGCAGGTGGGCAGGATGACCATGCCCGCCAGGATGACACCGAGAGGAAAGGGTCAGCACAGCCCATGGGGGCTGCACTGCGAGCCAAGGCTAAGGGAGGTGGCGACAGGAACTTCCTCTGCGCTTACGGCAAATGTCTACACAAAGCCCAAGCAGCCGAGGGGTGGGCAGTGCCCACATCTGTCCTGGAAGGTGTGTGTGTAATGGGGCCCTGCACACCTTGCATGCGCTGGGTGCATGCTGACGTGGTATCTGAGCCTTCTCATGCTCCAGGGTGAGGTGCATCTGGACAAGGTCTATGGGGGTGTGCAGGCACTGTGTCCACCTGTGTACCAGGACATGTGCTTGTGTATCTGTGTATGCCAGAGGACACCCTGGGCTCCATGGGTCACAGGTGGTGGTAGTGACCACACTTGCGTGTGTGAGTGCGCGTGCTGGCTTCTGTTCTTTTGTTGTCTGTGTGTGTACAGGTGTGCAGCCAGGAGCTATGCAGAATGCACCGTGCTGTTGGTTATGGTACGCGGCGATGCTGTGACTGTCCACCCAGGTGTTGCTGTGCCAGGGCAGGACTGTGTGTTCTCTGGCTACATATAGTCTGTGAATTTGGGGGTACAAGGTGCAAGCTCTGGCTGTCCTGGAACGCACTCTGTAGACTGCCCTTGAACTTGAGAGATCTTGCCTCTGCCTCCAGAGCACTAAAGGCATACACTACGACCTCCCAGCCGGGTGGATTTGTTTCTCTGTGTTGTGTTCTATGTGGGTCTAGTATGGCCTGTGTTGTATGTGCTTTACACATTTGTGTGACGCCGGTGCTGTTGGCTCCTGTGGTATGGAGGGATTTTGGCCAGTTACTAGGGACTCCACCTGTTTCCCCAGTGCTCATGCCAGGCTACTGCAGGCCAGACCTCAGCTCTCTCCACAAATTCTACCCTTTAGAAAGCAGCCTTTCCTCTGACTTGCAGTTCCAATGGAAAGGAGGCTGCCATAAGAATGGATGAAAGTAGTTTACTGTCTCCCTAGCAACCGTTGCTCTCCTGCCCCATTAACTCACTAAACCCAGGTTGCCATGGACACTTGAGGAACCCAGGGAGTCTGTTCTCCAGCACAAAGGATAAGACCATTGTCTCTTTCCCACGTATCTCACTACATCTGTTTCTTAGGGACACTGAGGACCTGGGAGGCGCCCTCTGGGAGTTCTGCCTCAGTTTCTCTACATACAACGAACAGAGCATGAATCCTAGCTCTTGTTCCACTCCCTGTCCCAGGAAGATGTGGGGTCTGAAGGATGAAAATAGTCTCACTGATTGGTCCCAACCTAGTCTGGCAGGCCAGTGTGGCCACAGGGCACCTGTCATCTGCAGGAACAGGGGACGTAAAAGGAAATGCACCATACAACCACACTTAGACCGGGGTGTCTATCCAGCTCCACTGCTGACCTTGGGCCTCGGTTTCTCCGTCTGTAACCACTGGGTTCTTATGTTCTCTGTGGACCCTCCCCCTCCAGGAAAGGTCTTCAGGGTCATGTTCACCCCATCTCCACTTCCAGGTGGGGACTCACCCAAACTGTCTCAGGCACACAATAAACAGAAACGCAGGCTGTGTGTCCCAACATCTGAGGGGAAGATTTGAGTGGACACAGTCCCCCACTGCAGACCAGGAAGAAGAGAAGGGAGCGTCTACCTACCTTCCCTCCCTTGTCAATCAGGACCCAGTGTGAGAGTCAGCTGCTGGAGCTGGTACCTAAAAGGTCATCCACAGGAGACTGGCACTGTGTCCTGGGCCAAGAAGGGTCTAGCCTGCAGGAGGCTGGTTCTGGCCTGTCAACAGAACCAACCCAGTGCTCCTCCCACCCTGTCCCTGCACCCCTGCGGACTCCAAGAAACGAATCTGCAGTGTCCTTGAAGCTAGGGGGACCACCCTGAGGCCCCCACTCTGCCCTTAGCAAGCCCCAACAAGTCAGAGGCTTGTTTGAGCAGGCAGACCAGGACATGGAAACACCCCACCTCCAGAGGGCGTACAGACATACACACACGCACGCATGCACGCACGCACGCACGCAGGCAGGCACGCATGCACGCACTACGATACACAGGCTTCCGTACAGACAGGGCCTCCCACTAGAATACACTGGGCCCTACAGCAGCCAGCAGGCTCTCTGCCACCCCCAAAACAAAGGCAGCCAGGACACCAGGATTCTTGTCTTAACTGGTTGTGACATGGTTCTCATTTTTCTCTGTCTCTCTCTCTGTCTCTGTCTCTCTGTCTCTGTCTCTGTCTCTCTCTCTCTTTCTGGACCTTTAGTTTCTCCTTGGTTAAACGGGCATCATCAACTTCGGTACACTAAGTATAAAGGACTGAGTACATTTCTGGCACGCTGGAGGCACTCCATAAATGGGAGCTATGGAAACCGCTGTCCACCCGGATGCTGACACACTCCATCCTTCACCCACCTCTACCTACCGTAACCGCCACCAGCTCCCCTGGTCGCCATGCGCTCATGGCCATTCTCAGTGGCAGCATTTCAGTCTAAGCCAGACACCAGGATTCTACGTCCATCCTCCCGAGGCCCGTGGGCCTGGTCAGGGCACCTCCCTACCCCACGCAGCCGGGCGCAGCACCCACCCTCTCATTGACCGCATTGTACTTGATGGCAAGCTCATCACGCTCTGCACGGCTCTGGGCCAGCAGGTCCTCCACCCGGGACAGCTCCTGCTGCAGCAGCTGGTTTTCCTCCTGCAGCGACAGCAGTGACGCCATCTCTGGGACCTGGAGAGGGGCTGACGAGGGACAGGGGCTCAGGTGGACTTCTGGCGAGCGTGGAGGAGCGCTAGCTCCCGCAGGTGTTCTACTCAGTTCTGAGACAAGATGGTGGAAGGGGCCCTGAGAGGAGCAGGGGGTGGGGTGGGGGCTCCAGCACCTGGGGGCCAAGAAAGCTGAGGAACAGGTAGGTTGGCAAGAAAGGCCAAGAGCTAGGTTTGTGTAGAAACAACTACAGCCCTGTGGCCACATCACCAGAACATACAGGAGAAAGGCTCTAGCTGGGAGTCAGGAGAATGTCTTTCTGTACCCACCCACCCTGGAGACACAAAGCTCCAAATTCTTGCTCCCTCATTTTCTGAGGACTATTCAGGTCTCAATTTTACTCATCTGGTAAATGGGTAGAATAGTATTAGACCATGATTAGAATGTGGTAAAGGTTTAATCAAAGGTGGGGCTTCTCATACCTTTGCTTTGTTTCCTTGTTATTTGAGGCAAGGTCTCCCTATGTAGCCTGAGCTGGCATGGAACTCATGATCCCCTCCCCCACCCCTCAAATGCTCAGATTGTAGGTAAGTACCATCACACTCAGTTCTCTCACAACCTCAAAAACTATGGTGTAATTCAGTGGCAGCTAGCTTGTAACTTTCACTCTGAAAAACATGGATACACACTGCAGGCCTTCTAGCCTTGCCTCAGGAGGGGAGGGGGGTGCCATTAAGCCTCCCCACCTCTGTGGAGTTTCAGCATCCCTGGTCCACTCAAAAGAGACAGCCCAGGCCTGATGTGGAGTCTGAAGCAGATTACAGCAGCCGTGCAGCTGCCAGCACTCCACGCCACTAAGGAACCAGCTGACCTTACATATATACATGTGAGTTACACATGCTGCACCCCAGGAGGACCTGCGGCCATCAGCTTTTGTGCCCAAGTCATGAGGCCTCTATAAGAGCCTGGTCTGAGCTGCTTCCCACCATCCCGAATCTTTGCCTCAGACACCTCACATCATCCCCAGTAAGAAATTCACTGTCTGGTGTTCAAATCTGAAGCAGTGAGTGGAAAGGTTAGACCCGCCCTCTCCTCTAGCTGTGCCACATGGGGAATAAATAAAACAGGTTTGGGCACACTGCATCTCAGCCTCCGACTGCTCCTCTGTAAAGCAGACCCCCCCATCACAGAGCTGTGCCTGTCCCAGGGCTGAGGACATGCACCAGTGCAGAAGGACACGTGCTACACACACGAGCATGAGAATCTAAGTTCAAGTCTCAGCACCCATGTAGAAAGCTGGGCATGGCTCCTCGGGTACCTGTAACCCGAAAGCTACTCGGGAAAGAGCCAGGAAGAGCAGCAGGACTTGCTGGCTGGCAGCCTAGCTCCAGGCTGTGTGAGACCCTGAGGTAAGGAAATAGGTAGAGAGCACCAGAACACTTCTCTGTCGTCCTCGTGCTCACAGGAAATGTATCTGTACACATGTGTGTACGAGCCCCCCCACACACATAACACACACACAGACACACACACACATCACACACAGACACACACATCACACACAGATACACACATCACACACACAGACACACACACACATCACACACACACACATCACACACACACACACACACACAGACACACACACACAGCACTACACAACAGCATCTGAATCACTGCCCCTGAGAAAGGAGAAGGACCTGAACAGGGTAGGGAGGTGGTACCTGGGGTCTCAGGCTGGGAGAGGTTGCTGGTGATGACCTCCCTGACACAGACAGGCAGGCTGGCTCCCTGCACGTCCTGGGCTGGGTTCTGCACACTCAGGCTCTTCTCTTGCTCTGGTCCCAGGACACAGCTCTCCAGGGTCTGTGAGAAGAGAGTTTTCAGAGACCCTAGACCCCTGACTTCCTGGCCTGAAGGTTGGGCAAATCCTGGGGCCTAAGTCCTCGAGAAACTAGGAACCAAGGGTAACCTGCAGAGAGTGCCTGCTAGGACTGAAGGGCAGAGAAGGCAGGGAGGACCTTGCTGTGCCGGAGGCCACTAATCCGTAAAATCCATAAGGGCCCTTCCCCCACTACTGTGCACTGAGATTAAGGAGTCCCAGCACTGGCCTGTGTGGCCCCCCGAGCTGCAAACTGTGACCCCTGCACACTTACCCACACTTCCCTCCGTTCACCCCGGCACCACTCCTATCAGACTGGTTATTCTGCCCTGCCTGCCCTGGCCAGGGTGGTCACAGCTCAGGACCCACCTGGATCACAATCTCCAGTGCCAGCTGGGTCTGCAGGGATTCTGCCAGCCCCAGGCTCATGGAGGGGGGTCTGTGGGTACTCCACAGACCCCCTCCCCAAAGTACAAAGGTCGAAGGTCGTCTCAGCTACACGCAGCAACACATTAACACACCAACGCCAGGCTGCTCGGCTGAGCAGCCCAGCAGATTAAGCTTAAATCCGATGGTGCCCCCACGTGACCACGCAGGGGGTGGGGAGAGATTCAGAAGGGAGAGGAGAGGGAGAGCAGCAGGAAGCAGAGGTGCATGACAAGAGCCCAGCGAGCACTCACACTCGGGAACGAGGAGAGCAAAGGAGCAGGAGAATGTGAATGGAAGGCGACAGTATTCCCCCTAGCCCGCCACCACCCCTGGGCTGTGGGTCCTGCAGCCTTACAAGCCCAGCTGCCGGAGGCAGGAAAGGCCAGAGTTCCTAGTTTATGGAGCATCTTCCCTGACCCGGAACGGGCTCACGTGGTTTGCTGAGAACTCATTCGCAGCCTGCTGCTGGGCAGATAGATGCCTGTGCACTACAGGTTGGAAGCAAAGAAAAGCAGAAGCTCAGACAAGACCAGGAGCTGAGTCTCTCCAAGCCCCACCCCCACCCCACCCCTGCCGTGTCCCAGCATCCTCCTGTGTAAGAGCTGGCACTATTGATGGTCTCACTGAGCTGCCTGGGAGCAAGGAATCTGCCTGTCAACAGCACACACCAGGGTGCCAGCTTCACCCAGGGAACACTGGGTAAATATTGTCTTCACTCAGTAGAAAACTCAGTGTTGTGCACGGTCCCTGGGCCCCAAAGTCCCAGAGCAGTTTCCCTCTCAGAAGCAAGAAGGCTGTGTGGCACGGTGGTAAGGACATGGAATTGCTGGCCTGCCATGTGTTAGAAGTATGGCCCTGGATAACTTACCTCTCCTCAGTTTCCTCATTTGTAAACAAGAACAGAGTCTTTGTGGGATTTAAAACATGCTGAAAGCAGGAAGGGGTTCAGAAGCACAGGAGGCAAGGCTGAGCTCAGGTAGCTCACTTTAGCACTACCTGCTGCCTTCTACTCTCCAGGTCCCTAGGGTCTAGGGTGTGTCGAGTTCACTTGATCCTCCTATCGGCCCATTTCTGGATGAGCAAAATGAGACTCAGAGGGGTAGAGGGCTCACCTATTCAAGGTGACATGCTAAGGAGAAGTGTAAGCCTGAAGCTCATCCCCCTTAAGCCAAACAGACTCCCCAAAATGGCTAAAGGGCAAAGCCACGCCACTTGATCTTCAAGACCTGCTGCCATATCCAAGTCAGTGAGACCCACGGATGCACAGGTACTGCATACACGCACCTCAGTCCAGACTGGGTCTCTCCTTCTCTGCTAAGGAATCTGTAGTGCAAATGGAAAAAAAGCACACCTGGCAAGAAGGTAGGTGCCATCAAGCTGTTGTGGAGCTCTGATGGCTACTGAAAGGACAGCAGTGTAGAGAAAGGGAGAGGGGACATCTTAGCGGGGGAGTTGTACAGAGACAGGCTGAAGAGAGAACAAGCTAGACACAGGCGAAGACAGAACAAGCCAGAGAATGAGAAGGAGCCAGAAGATCAGAACATTTTGCCAAAGTTAGTATGAGACCAAGCAGAGCAATTCAGTCAGAAGCTGAAAGAAGTCAGTTTGAACCAGTCAGTGTGGAGAGAAGTTTTGAGTCAGAACAGCTGAGTTGAACCAGCCAGCCAGAGATCAGAAAGAACTAGAAAGGGTGAGCTTACTCAGCAGTGAGTCTCAGAGCTGAGAACACTCTAGGTCTAGATAAGACTGTATGGAGGCTAGAAGCTTCCGGGACTAGGCCTGGGTTAGCAGACGCAGGCAGTAAGCATCTGAGACAATTAGAGCAGGAGAAAAGATAAGTTTGTCCCTTCCCAAACTCTTGGTGAAATGTGGTCCCCAGTGTCAACGTTGAGAGGTGATGGGACCTTTGAGAGGGGATTAGACCCGAGGGACCGATGCCTTTCTCAACACTGTAGTTTTCTCATATTGTGAGTGTGGGCTGAAGCAGGCGTGGTGGCTCAGGTCTGTAATCCCGGCACTTTGGTAGTAAAGGCAGGAAATCTTGTGTTTGAGGCCAATCCTGGCTACATTGAGAGAGATAGATGGTGCAATAGTTAAGAACCTGGCTGCTTTTACAGAGGGCTCAGTTCCCAGAACCCACTTAACAACAGTTCAAGGAGGATCCAATGCCTTCTGGTCTGCAGGCACCAGGCATGCATACGGTTTGCAGACATGAGTGCAAACAACACTTGTACACATAAAACAAAATAATCTAAAAGTGGGGTGCTTCAGCAGGCAAACCGCTTACCATAAATGCATTAGGTCTGGTGTTCTGAACCCTGGGACCTATGTAATACAGGGTGTGCTGGATAGCTTTATGTCAACTTGACACAAGCTAGAGTTAGCTGAAAGGAGGGAACTTCAGCTGAGAAAATGGCTCCAGAAGATCTGTCTGTAGGGCATTTTCTTAACTAGTGATTGATGGGGAGGCCCCAGCCCCTTGTGGGTGGAGCCATCCCTGGGTTGATGGTCCTGGGTGTCTCTAAGAAGGCAGGCTAGGCAAGTGATGATGAGCAAGCAGCATTACCCATAACCTCTGCATCAGCCCCTGCCTCTAGGCTCCTGCCCTGCTCGAGTTCCTGTCTTGACTTACTTCTATGATGAACAGTGATATGGTAGTGTAAGCCAAATAAACACTTTCCTCCCCAGGTTGCTTTGGTTGTGGTGTTTATCACAGTAACAGTAACTATAACTGAGTGGGTATGTCTACCCCCCTCTAACCCCAGCACGCAGGAGGCGGAAACAGGGGCTCCCAGATCAAACTGGATCGCTAGACCAGCCAATCCCTGACCTTGGTTCAGTGGGAGACCCTGCCTCAGTATGTTAAGAGGAAAGTGACTGAGGAAAACATCTGACGTCAGCCTCTGGTGCACACATATGTACACCCAGACATATGTGAATACACACGCACACATAATATGTACTGCACAGACACATGCACATGTAAATAACAGTGTAAGGCAGCCCAGCTCTCTGCCCTCTTGCTGGCTTGTCTTCTGTCTTCCCACCATTACGGCCACCCACTGAGTCCCTATCCTTCAGCATCATGAATTAATGAACTTTTTCTTTTATAAATTATCTGATTTTAGGGCTAGAGACCTGGCTCAGTGGTTCAGAGGGCTTGCTGCTTTTGCAGGGGACCTGGGCTGTTTCCAGCACCTACATGGTAACTCTAGGTCTAGGGAATCTGACACCCTCTGCTGGTTTCTGTGGGTCCCAGGTACACATATAATACACATACATATATGCAGGCAAACACTCATACACGTAAAATGAAAAACATATAAAAAGAAAACCGCCACCACCACCACCGCCACCGCCACCACCACCAATCCAGTCTTCTGTGTTCTGCACAGCACAAAAACGAACTCAGAAGGCAATCGACCAGCTGGACTCTGCACTTGGCCAAGCTTCCTCCTGGCCTCCGTCACCTTAGACATGTTTCACCCCTCTTCACCCCGAGTCTGATTTCTTTTCTTCAGAATGAGGTGCTAATGGTACCCACTTCTGCCAGGAGGAGGAAATTAACTGTGCACCTGGATACACCAGCCAGAAAACGTGACCAGACAGCCCCAAGTTCTACCCAACAGAATGTGTCACTTTGGAGTGACCAATCTTCCCAGGAGGAACTGCTTCCCTCTGTCCTGGCCTACCAAGGACATAACTGGACATAACCGGAAGGACATAACTCCGGGGTCCAAGACGATGTCAGAACCATAAGATGGAAGGTTTTGGGTCCTAGGCTCACTGCATAGAAAGCCATCTGCTAAACACTCAGTGGGAAACCATTTGTAAACCTGCCTTGTGTTAGCCTCTGAGGTTCAAGGGTCACCTGAGTTCATGAGCTGGCGTTACCTTAAATACTGCAGTTGACAGGGACAGCGGTGCCTGTCGCTGACACTGATGCTGCAGTAGTCACCCCATCCTTTGTAGTCTCTGGTTCTTCCCGGTGACTAGACTTCACGCCTCACCTCCTGACTCTCAGCCACTGTCTGCAGGGACAAGGAGATCCTTTGAGCTCATTCCAAACCTATTTGGCATGCCTCGCCAAAAAACAAACAAACAAAAACTCCTCAGCAACTACTCACGAGTCCCAAACATACCAGTTTTTCCTACCACTTACCCCTCATTTTCTCTAGTTGCTGACTAAAAATTATAACAAAAGTATTGCGCCAACCTAACCCCACCTCATCAGAAGACACTGTTCTACACACTTCACAGTCAGTTCTTTCAGTGCTGGGGGATGAAGTCAGGGCTTTGTTTCTATCAGGCAAGCTACATCCCCAGCCCTCCTATTTCAAAGTTTTAAATAATAACAGCAACAACTGACATTATGTGTCCCTTGCCATGTGCCAGTCACATCCTGGTCTCTAATGGATATTATATAAGCCACTGCTTCATGTGAACTGCTAAGATGGTCCCCCAAGGTCTCCTGCTTCCTCTCTGGTCTCCCAGCGCTATTCTGCTCCACACAGTGAGATCCTGTCTCTGCTCAAAGCTCCCCACTTGTCTCAGCCTGAAAGGCCTACTGAGCCTGGCCCCAGCCCACCTGTCACACCTCATACCCTTCTCTTCCCTTACTACTCTGTCACACTGGTCTGGATTCTTCAAATCCCCCCCCCTCCAGCCATGTTCCCATCACACACGTTTGTACCTGCCATCCTCTCTGCCTAAGATCCCCCCTCTCTTCCTCTTTGTACAAGATGAAGTAAGAGCTACCTGGAGATCAGAGCTGGCTCAAAACCTCACCTTCTGGGAGAGCTAAGCTTGGACCTCCCCGTTAAAGTGGTCCTTGCTGGTAGTGACTCACTGCTGACCTCACTATCTCTACGGAGAGCAGTGAGCAAGTCATATTTGTGCATCACCACCTCTGTGGTGCCCAGGGCCCAAAGCTCTCTCTACACAGCTGTCCAATGAATGAATGAATGGATGAATGAATGAACACGGAGGAGAGCCACAGTATAGGCTGAACATCTCTAATCTGAAAACCTAACACTTCCAAATCAATGCCACGAGTGCCCCATACCTAACTTTCTGTGACAATCCACAGTACACCAAAGATGTTCAAAGCTATGTATGCAGCCTATATGGCTAACTGAGGTAAGGTGCTCGGGTGCATTTTGTTTTGATTTGGGTCCTGTCCCCTCAAATCTTTGTATGTATATGTAAATATCTAAGAAATTGTTTTAAATGAAGAACTTCTGGGATACTTAACCTGAACACAAAATTAAATGGGAGGGAATAAATAACCCCCTTGACTTTGCCTGTGGGTTGCATAACTCTCAGCCATCCCACACAGCCAGGGGTCACAAGACACCAGTAAATCCATGTCCAGCACCAGGGGTCCAGGCCAGGCAGTGTCCCCTAGAAGGGTTAAGGGTAGGACCCTCGGAAGGCCCACTCCACCAACAGGACTTGCATCTGGGGAGGGGAGGAGCTAATGAAGAGAAAATGTATTTGGGAGTCTCCCCAAGGAGCCATCCATAGCCTCTCCTAGTCTTAGAGCTACTTGTGAGCTCATCAGGAAAACAGGAACAACACCACCTGAGGGTCTCAACTTTTCAGACAAGTCCAGCACCCAGGGGACTGGATAGATCTGGGGTGGGGGAACCTACATCCCTCTGACTTGGGTTTGCAAAAAGCCTGGGACTCTCCAAATGCCAGCTCCAGAGCTGCTGGCTGGACCCATCCTGAAAACCCCTAGTAGATGGAGGCGCAAATCTCTGCACAGGCTCCTGTGGCCTCGCCATTCTGGAACGCTCAGTGATTGCGCTGGACCTCAGTTTGCTGCTATGCACTATGGAGAGCCTTTACCCCCGAGATCAGCTAAAGGGAAGAAGAGCATCCCACCGAGGACCGGGCCTAGCAGTCAGGAGGCCACAGGCAGCGGCGCCTGGTGACCGTCCTACCCGAGGGCTACGTGCAGGGGAGCCAGGACATCCCTGTGAGAAGCTGCTGGGCCGCAGGCCCTGGGCCCCAGATGGGGAGACTCCAATGGGGACGTACCGCTGGTGAGTCCCCTTCCCGCCTAGACCTGGCCAAGCCAAGTCCGAAGGGGGTCGTCGGGGCGCTGGAAGCCCCCAAGACACCCACACCACTCCAGAACGCCTCCTTAGCCCGGCGCACCCGCCCCGTCCCCGCCCCGCGCACGCGCGCCGCGGCCTCCTACCTTCGCGGTCCGCCGCCAAGACCGAGAAGGCACAGCCGGGGGCGGAGCGTGCGCTCGGGGGGCGGGACCAAAGGCGTGGCGACGTAAAAGGTGGAGTTAGAAAGGCGGGATGGCTCAACCAAAGAGAAAGGCCTTCGCGACCAACGGGCGAGGGGGGGACCGAGGCGGAGTGAGCGCCTCCTGATGGAGAAAGGCGGCCAAGACGGAGCATGCGCTTCACTGCCAGAGGGGCGTGGCGTGACCATGGGCGTGGCTCCGTTGAAGGGGCGTATCCGAGGTAAAGCGAAGCGTCCGCGGGGTGGAAAAAGGTACTTTGGGGCGGGGCTCAGCCGGGGCGGGGCCGAGGCGGAGCGAGTCGGGCTGAGCGCAGGAAGGCCCTCCCTCCCGCAAGGGGCGAGGAAATCTGGCCAGTTGCGCTCCCTCTGCTCCTCCTTCCTGATGCTCACCTTTATTGCTCTGGACTGCACAGCAGTGGGATATTCTGAGAACCGTCCAAGCCTGTAGAGGCTTACTGCCTTACGGGCGCTTAGTCCCTGCGTTCTGGCCAAAGATAGCAGCGACCCAGGTGGTGGCTATCTCCTTTCGGCCCTCTGTCACAGGAGTGCTCCAGGCTTTAAAAGACTGCTTTCCTGATGGTGGAGTCTCACTCTGCCCTTGATTTTTTCACTTGTAAAATGGTGGTGCTGCAGACAGGAGGGTTGCCTCAGGGGTTAAGAGCGCTTGTTGTTCTTGCAGAGGACCTAGGTTCGATTCCCAGCCCCCACATACATACAGGCAAAATACAGACACATGAAATAATTAAAATCTTAGTTTTAAAAATGGTGGTGCCCTGATTGTTACCATATCATACTGCAAGCTCATCTGTCTGATTCTTCCAAATGGAATAAAACAGAACCAGACCTCTGAGCAGCTGCGTGCAGAAGACACCTGCCGCGTCTTCAGAAACAGCGCCTTGATTCTACTTTGACCCTAGAGTTGAAGGACAGAGTGTTTGGCTTGAAAAGGCATCTTTGTTTTTATGGATTTGCATTTTGGGGGAGGGGGAGTACTCAGAAAGCTTGTTTTTTAAATGGCTCATGCACTCCAGGGAGAGGCAGGCAGATCTCTCTGAGTTTGAGGCCAGCCTGGTCTACATAATGAGTTTCAGAACAGCAAGGGCTATGTAGAGAGACCAGGTATCCAAAAACCAAATAAAAAACTCTAAAGAAAATTTATAGGAAAAAGATAAGCCAGCATTTCATAAAACTGGGGGGGGGGGGGCCAGAGGCGGGATCCAAAGCTCAAAGTCATCCTTGGCCACATAGTGAGTTTGAGGCCAACCTGGGTTACATGAGATCCTGTCACACAGAAAAAAATGACACTACCATGTTAACTTGAGCTGGAGATGGCTCAAGGGTTAGCCCTTGCTGTTCAATCATGAGTACGGGAGTTTGAATCTCAGCACCCACTTAACAAGCCTGCTGCCGGCACACACTGCTAACTCCAACTCTTCTAGCCTATGACCATGCAGATACACACACACACACACACAGATCTGTTTAAAGAGTTTTTAAAATAGTAACTGCTTTATCTTTAGGTATTGGCATGCCAATCTATCTCCAAAGTGCAGTTAATTTTGTTGAAAAGACGATGTACATACTGGCTTTAAAACTGAAATAAAGATTTTCTTTTTAATGTTTCTTTTTTTTTTTCGGAGCAAAGACTTTAATGAATATATTTTACAAATACACTGGCGACTCAGGCAATGCTGCCTGCATTGGATGCAATCCTGGGCCTCAAGTCTGCACACTCCTTTGCAACTGGACCTGTAATAATAGCAGAACCTTTCATCTCCCCTTTATTGTTTACTATGACCCCCGCATTATCTTCAAAACACAGAAACACCCAATCTTTTCTTCGATATGGCTTTCATTGTCAAATTACCACCGCTGGATGTACCTTTTCTCTTAGTTCTGGTTTGCCTTTCTTAACTGTGGCCATCACCATGTCGCCACACCAGCAGCAGGAAGTCTGTTCAGCCGTCCCTTGATTCCCTTCACAGAGATGGTACACAAGTTTTTGGCTCCTGTGTTGTCAGCACAGTTGACCACAGCTCCCAGGGAAGACCCAGGGAAATCCGGAGTTTCGCTCCAGAGGACCCACCACGTCCTCACTTCGACATCTCGAGTGTCCGGAAAGAGTCAGAAAGCCTTTTTAATGTTTCTTTGTGACAGGGTCTCACACTGTAGTCCAGGCTGGCCTGGAATTATGTAGCCCAGGTTGACCTCAACCTTGCCTCTACCTCACCTTGTCCAGCTTATGTCCAGCTACCTGTCTTGAGCCACTTGTAACCCTGCAGGTAACCTGTGAGGTGTCATTTTCTATGTCTCTTTACAGAAAAATGGGCATATTTGCCCTTCTGCTTTGTGCAGAAGAGCACATATTACATATGTACTTTGGGTTTTCTCAGTGCTGAGGCTTGACTGCACCCTTGCACAGGCTAGCCCCTTGCACAGGCTAGTCCCTTGCACAGGCTAGTCAGGCAGCGTATACTGAGCTCTGCCCACTATCCTTTTCTCCTAGCTGCCTGCCCTTGATACAGTTTAGTGATTAGTACATAACACTTCTACCCGCTCTCCCCAGGGACCTGGTGAGCTACTGCATATCCGCATATTTAGGTAACCTCTCAGCAGACACTGTAATCAGGAGACAGAAAGTACTGAACCCTGTCCTTGTCAAAATGTATACTCCAGTCCAAATCCCCAGCACTTGCAAATGTGAGCTTCTTTAGAAATAGAGACCTTTTGCAGCTACAATTAATTATGGCGGATTTCAGGGTGGCATCCCAGACTCGTAGGGGTCATTAAATCCAATGGTGGACGTACCAACAAGGGGAGGGGACACAGAGACACAGAGAGAAAACCATGAAAAAAGATGCAGAGACTACCATTGTACTGTCACAATCCGAGGGATGCTTGGGGCCACCAGAAGCTAGGCACAGCAAGGATTCTGGCCTTTGAGGCCTACGTAGGCCTCTAGCAGGGACAGAGGCTGCAGGCTTTCTGTTGCCGTTTTTGAGACAAGGTGAAGTGGAAACTTGAGGGTTCTTTGGAAAGTCGGTTGGTATTTTGCTGGGGTAAACATGTGAAGGAACATTGCGTTAAAGTGGACACAGGTGTGAAAGGCTAAGGCCAACTAGTGAAGGAATCTTTCACTGAAGCAGACACAGGAGAGAGGATGTTCTGCTAAAGCAAGCATGTGAAAGGACATGTGATACGTGATAAAGTATTCACTGCTAACGACACGCATGTATTGATCTACCTTACACTGTGTAAGTTGAGCAGCAGTTGTCAGGACTCCACAGAGAGAAATGTACCAAAAAAACTTCTGGTGGCCTGCTGCAGTTTCTCCCCACCTTCAAGGACTTGGGCTATGGATAAAGGTGCTAAGGCAAGACTGCTGAAACAAGGCACGTGGAGGACACATGATGTTTGAAGAGTATAAACAGGACTCCACGGAGTGACGGAAACAGAGCTTGGCTTGCTGGTACAGCTAGCTGTGCAACGCTTGTGGGTCTTGCATCTTCGCTGATCTTCGATTCTCTGAGAGAGGCACAGCAGAGAACTTCTCCTTGTGTCCCTCTGGGTCCCTCCTGCTCATTCGAGCTGAGGCTAAAGCCTGGCTGTCTCTGCTAGGTCGTGTTACTGCTATTGCTAACACAACTCTACCCAACTGGACTGCTGGTATATCCATGAGGTGTTTGCCAGTGGATCAAGCTGCCTCTGCTGACCTGTGAACTGAAGTGTTGATTTCCAGACAACACAGATGGGTGTTGCTCCAAAGAACCTTTCTAAACAGGCCCACTTCCCCCAAATTCTTTCTTTTCCTACTTCTGGTGGATGGTGGGCTATGAGGGAGGTTAAAGTACTTAAGAATCATCATTAAAAATAGGATTGAAAAAAATCAAGGTCTGTTACAAGGTCTGTTGTAGCACTGGCTGACTGGAGAATCCTTGTGTAACTCAGAATGGCCTCAAACTTAAGTGGTCCTCCTGTGTCTCTGTCTTCCAAGTACTGGGATTAGAAGTGGGTATCGCACCTGCTGCTACTTAAGTGTTTCATGTAGCCTAGGCTAGTTCCCAACTTCTTACAGAGCTGAAAATGCCTTGAATTTCTAATCTTCCCATCTTTGCCTCCCAGATGTTGGGATTACGGCTGGGCTACTGTGGCAGTTTTACGTGTTGAGGATCAAACCCAGGGCTTTGTGCATGACCGAAGCTAGGTGAGCACTCTCCCAACTGAACCATACGTATCTTAAGCCTGCTTCTTTTGTAGTGCAGCAGCTAGAACCCCAGACCTCAAATTCCATCAAGCTAGAGCCCCAGTCCAGAGACAAACGGTCACTGTCTCACTTAGACAGGTCAGTGCAGGCCTAGCTTTCTGGGCCCTCTGTAAGCTTATAGTGTTGGCCAGGCCTGGGGCCTCTCTCCAAAGTTTAACTAGGAAGACCCAAGTTCAGTTGCTGTTAGCACCCAGAGTCTTACAGGACGCTGCTGGACTGTGCTTGGTTTCTCCTTGGCTGTTACTGGCCAGTTCCGGCCACAAGACTCTAAAAGGTGCTTCTTCAAAGCCAACAGAAGAATTTTAAATTTCTCAGTGAGGTTACCCCCCCCAAAAAAAACCAGTATGTGTGTGTGATATGTGATCACATATATGTGTGTGTGTGTTTGAGATCTCCACTCTGTAGCCCTGACTGGCTTGGAGCTGTGTAGATCAGGTTGGCCTCAAACTTCAGGGTTCTGTCACCTTCCTCACACGGGATGCTGAAATCTCTCTTTTTTTTTTTTTTTTTTGGTTTTTCAAGACATGGTTTCTCTGTATAGCCCTGGCTGTCCTGGAACTCACTCTGTAGACCAGGCTGGCCTCGAACTCAGAAATCCGCCTGCCTCTGCCTCCC